TGCTACTTTTTCCAGCTCATGAATTCTAATGTACTAAAATTTCTTCCCTATACAATGATTACCTGAAGTAAAGCTAATTGACTGTGTAGCACTATGCTTCAAAAAGTATTTGAATTCGACACATGAACAGCTGGAAAGTGGTACCATAGGACCTCACTCTTATACTCCAATATTGTGCTTTCCTTTCTCCATCCTCTTTCCCACCAAAATTTTGGTATTAGAATAATGAACCTCTTTCTCAACAATACTCAAACTATTTCTTCCTTTCAAATGTTGTCTGGCTAATCTGTTCCTGCAAATATTTATTTAAAATAATAACAGGGAAGAGCGAAATTATGGTCATCTACTGACAATGTACTATAATCAAATTCTGCTGACACAAATTTGAAGGAAAAATGTATACCCTGTCAGGAAAAGAAATAAAAGACACCCCATCTATTTTGGTCAGTGTAACTACTAAGTAAACTTAAGTACACGGGAGTATAACTAGATATATCTACGTTCAGGTAATCGTAAAACTTTTAAAGAGCTTATTAAAAATATAGAAAAAAATTAGCTGCTGTCTTACAAAACTAAGCATATGCTCATTTACAGATTCGATCATTAATGCATGTGAAGGCTAAAAAATGCATAGTATTGCTTAGCAGTCATGAAGCAATCTAAATAAAAGTGCCATGAAAACAAAGTTTAAAATATCTGGAAAGGTATTTCTGTAAGAGTGCTAAGATGCAAAACAAGTAATAAAGAATAACAATCAACTTCTGCTTAAGAAATACCACATGTTGCCAGTTGCTGATAGATTCTGGCTACAAACTGCATTCTAACACTGAACTAATGACAGAACACAACACATACTAAAACTAATGTAGGTCATATTAACAACTTTCCTCCCTGAATTTCAATATTCACTTTGTTTTCTCTTCTTGTCTTAATACAAAGTCCAGTGAGCTCTGCAGGAGTCTTATACTAATGTTCTATTCACCAACTTTAGAAGAATACCCAAAAAGGCTCACAGTTGTATTTAAGACACAGTTGTAGCAAATACTTACTGCTACAAGAAGATGTGAAAGAGAAATGGAAGCTACAAAAACAATTTAAAAAAGCAACAGAAAGCTTGATACTTCAGAATCACAACCTATTCAGATTAAATTCTCTGTCCACAAGCCTTTTTCTTTTGAGATTGGCTTACACTTTTTTGGAGGAAGGAGTTTCATTTCTGATAAATATTGCTGAATTCCAGATTGCCAAAGCCCAGACTTACTCATTTAACAGTGTACTTCTCCTTACCCAAGGATGGCTACGCCAGTTCAGATCAAAGGTCCGTTTAGCTCAGGATCCTGCTTCCAAAAGCAGCTACAAGTCAGAGTCAAGAGACGAAAGCATGAGCAAAGAAATCAAACACAGTATTTTCCCAGAATAACTCCCCAACCTTCAACTATATTCCACCCAGGAATTCCTGAGACTGATGTGATTTATCTGTGTAGCTTGCCCAACGGGTCTTCTCTTTCAACCATTTAGCCCATTACCCCCTAAACCCACATATACTGTTTGCACCCACAGCATCCCAAAGCAAGGCTACCCTGGGCAAAGAACTAAGAACTGTATCATCACGGTGATGCTACGTTTTGCGTGTGTTCAGTGGATACAGCTATTCGCATTTGTTTATTAAAACCCAGCCAAAATCAAAAAGCAAGATTGACACACCCCTTGAAAGAAACTTTCAGTTTGCACATATCCCAGCAAGTTGAGTCCAGTGGGAACTAGGATTCTGAGCACAGTAAAATGCTGCAATAGCAAGAATTATAACAAGGTTGAATATAGCTGGAAAAGCAGGCAGATGTCATGAGTGAAAAAACAGACACCCTAACAAAAGCAGCAAAAAACCTCTGTGAGCCTCCCTCAGTCCAACAACTGAATTTTGATCCAAGGAGGTTAAATATAGGGCTGCTTGAAAATTTTCCACTGCATCTATTTTTGATGGGAAAGGAGGCTTTCAGCTAAACACTTTTTGGTTGGATTTTTTTTTTTTTTTGGCATGTCTAAGTATGTGCTTCTGCAAATATACTTTTCTTACCAAAAAGCCAAACTTACAAACCAAAATATTTTGATTGAAAACAAAAAATGTTACTAAGAAATGCTAGTGTAGCATCTCATTAAATGTGCAGCTTACCTGCTTTATGTGGCAGATCTCCTTTATCAACTAGACTTACCATTTAAATGACAACTCCAATAACAGATCACTTTGAGGGATTCCCTACTTCTAGCACTCCCTTCAAAGAGGAAAGATCATGGCACAGTGTTGAAGGTGGTAGGCAGCCTCAGCCTTGCAGAATAGGACCAGCAGGCATCCAGATTATAATGTCGGAGGAAGACTACAGTAACACTTTTCAAATCAAGAAGTTTTAGTTTTCAGACAAAGTATTCCAGTCTTCTGACTTCTGTCAAAGCATGTAGTTTCTCCTGGAAAATTAAGGCAAAAATGAAAAAAAGCTTTTTATTTTTTTATCAGAAATTCATGCAGGAAATTTCATGGGTCAAGCAAGGTCTTATTCATTAACCTGCAGATTCAAACTTAGCATCTGGATCCATCCATACACAAATCAGAAAAACTTTTAACAGCAGTAAAATGTTTCAAATTTTCCATAGCAGTCCTGTTAGCAGGACCATTCAAACGCCAAGGAGCTAAAACCAAATAAAACCAATATGGGCTCGTTAGATGGAATAACTTAGTGTATGAGCCCTAAGTTATAAAAGTTCAACCAGCCTAACATGCAAAAGCAAAGGATGAAGATAAGATTCAAACAATGGTTATACATAATGGGTAAGAAATCTGTAATACAAAATATCTGTATAGCAAAATTGGCGAAGTGGCAAGAAAATGAGATATTCCATTTATTATTTCCTTTCAGGGCTCTCTAATTCAGTGGATTAACCAGAAGGAACAAATTGATAAGGCTAATGCAATAAAACCTGAAAGTAACAGCTATCCCATTATGGCTGTTATCACCGCTTTTCTTGGAACCCCACAATCCACTGGAAGAATTGAAAGCCTCTCATCCAGCAACAGGCCCTGACCAGACCAAGACAGAGAAGCACCCAACTAATACTACCAGGGACAATGTTAGAACTAAATTTCTAATATCCATCTCTTCCCTTGTGGCTGTTTCCTGCCATACAATTGCGTCTCCCACCCCAAAGGCAAAATAAATGTATAAATAAAAGAAATAAAAGACAAGAAATCAATCAAGACTGCATCTTTTGTAACACTGTTGTGAGCCCACAAAAGACAACTGCAAAAAATCTCATACCAGTGGGGTATTATTTTATTTTCCTCCTCAACACTCACAGAGGACTATTACTGCCATCATTAGCACCAACTAAGAACCAAAAAAATTCAGAGGAACTGGCAAAGGAATAACCTTATTAAAAACTCAGTGGGTAAAACAAAAGGAAGGACATTTTGCTATTACAGTGAAATTCCTCTCAACACTTTGCTTTTCAATCACACCATTCTTTTACTAAAATAAAAATAGAGAAAGGTTTTTAAGAGCAAGCTTCTGCTGAGACTAGGCACCTGAGATTTCCCTATGAGCCGTTCCAAACACTGCCTAATGCTGATTCCCTTCACAGAGTTAATATCTTTGACTGCCTAATGTTATAAAGTGAAAAGTGCTAATACGACTTGTCATTCTCGAAGCCAATTTATTCATCAAAATTAGCACAAGCCCAAGCCTGCTGTCCTTATTCATATTTGGAATCACCAGCCACTTCTTAAGTGTTGTCCCAGCAAAATTAGCACAGTGAAGAATTAGTCAGGATCTAACCCTAGAGATAAAAAATTTGTTTAGAGTAAATGAAATACAAAGAATAAATATTCAAAATGAGTGATGAAAGACACGTTTGCTATTTCCATTTTAACTCCAGGGCAATAAGTAATTTCAGTAAGAATTTCTCAGTGTGATTTTTATCATTCAATATTTTAAAAATTACTACTGTGCATCCTCCATCAAAAGTTGGGATTGGCAACAGTGAAACTTTAAAAATGTCCACTTCAAACACGTATGCAAAACATTATTCCCTTAAATTATGCTAATACTGACTTATGAGGTGCAAAAAGTAGTGTCAGAATTTATGAACAAATTTGTATTGTACAAGGATTTAACGACACGCGTTCCTCTTCAAATCAGTTATACGAAGTTTTGCTTTCTCCCATCTGGGTTTTATCCTTATCCATGCCTTTCAACACAGTGTCATTTTTAATTCAGTTCACTTCTTACTCGTAAGTGCATCACCTCATTAATTTCTCATTTAATTTACAGCATGTGAGAGGGCATACACGTCAGTTAATATCTCCATATAGCCTATGCAAAAGTTAGTAAGTCAAAGTGGACTACACTGCCTAATCTTGTCTCTACATCAGCTCAGATAGCCCAGACCAGCCTACTGCAGATGGGGCATCCTTAGCTCAAAGCCTTTCACAGCTACTTCTCTCATGTCTACTTCCACCAGGCTGGATCAGCTAGCAGAGAGCTGCGCACGGGCTGGGCTAGATTTCTTGCCAGGAGTCCCACAGCTCCTTGCAGTGTGGCAACTGAGCCACTCCAACTCAGAGTTACAGTATACGAGGGAGAACCCTGCACTCCCCAGCTTCTCTGTTACGGTTCTTCCTTACACCCTGTCCCCTGTCACCTAACCCAAATATAGATGCCACAAAGTTAAGTACGTCAAGTTAATAGATCGAGCCCCCTTAATTCCTCCAGTAGATCCGACATCAAAGACCAGATACATGCATGCCATACCATCTTAAGGCCAGATTGTAATTTTTATTTGGAAGCTGCCCACCCCGGATGGCTACGGCTCAGTCAGGTAAGCCAGGTGGCAATGCAGTAGCAGTGGATATTTACCAGAAGCTTTGCAGGGGTTTATACCCAGGTTGTTAAACCTGAGGTTTCCAAAACTGACAACCGACCAAATGGACTTATCAACCCATGCTGGGAGTAATGACGGTGCGTGTGCCATTTGCGCATATGTAAGCATTAGCAACCTTTTGATGGAGCATGGACAGAGAATCACAAACATGACTGCAGAAGTCACTGGCACGCTAGAGGTCGGGACAAGCTTTGACTTTTAGGAGAGAGTGGTGCATGTGTATACTCTCATATTATCCCCAGATAACCTTCCCGAGATTCAAGAGTGCATTTACATACTAATGTTCTAGAAGTTTCCAGAAAGTAAATTAATGGTTACCTGGGCAGTCAGAGGAAGACAACACTACTCATTATGCCCATACATACTTAATATGGCTAGCAATTTAACTGCATGATATTTGTATTATTCTCCAAATACAGTGACAATGAATCAACGGACTGTTTAACTCAGAACAATTTGTCTTCAAAAGTCACGTGATTTATCATGTGTGAAACATCCCACCATGAGGTATTACAATCTGTAGCAGAGGTAGATTATAAATAAAGCTTGTTAAATAATGGGCAAAAATTAAAAAATAATATTAAGGAAAATGAAAAAGATTGCCCTCAAGAATACTTATTTTCTTTCATCATCCTTATAATTTGTATTTTCTTGCATTCCTTCTTCCTGCATCGTTTCACTAATGAGAAATGAGGAAATATACGATTGCACCGAGTGTGCCAATATGTTGCAGCCCAATCATCATCTGCCTAGTGTGGGAGAATAAAGGTAAGCCCTCTGATACACGTTGATCTTATGTTGCCCTCATGCTAAACGGCTGTTCCCCCGACTTCTTATTCTCATTCTGCTGCTCGTGCTGCTTCTCTAGCGAAGCCTACACATCCAAAGCAGCCTCAGGAAGAAAGTCTAATCATGGTCTGCTCCTACATTGAGCAGAAAATCCTCCAGCCACATTGAGGGCTACAACCTGCAGCTTCCCTGTCGGAGCAATCCTCCGAACACAGCACTGTTCAATCACTTTGTCATCTTCCTTTATGGTAAAGGGACAGCAAAGTATTCTTCCAGCATTTTCTCCTCCTTCTCTGCCACCTGCTCACTGCACTCCAGAAGTAGCTACTGCAGCAGATGGTATTCAGCCTATTTTCTTTTTGCCGAAAGGCTCTCTCACGTCTCACTGACCAACAGGAGCATCACACTACTGTGCCCATCCACGATCAGATCTGACATCCCTGAAAAGATGTATGCAGAACACTTCTTCTCTACGAAAAGTTCTCATGGATCACAATAAAATACAGGCTGCCTCAGAAGCTGTGTCAATGCCATTTAATATTTTTGTGAAAGGAGAAATACCTATCAAAATATAAGATATATACGCACGCCGTACTCTCCCATCTCCGTTTCTTTGCAGGTTTCACAGTGCTGGGTTTTTCCTCATAATTTCTGCTTTGCAGACTTGCAGAAGTACAGATCAACACGTTCCTTCCCATACGTGGACTGCCCATCATGTTGCTCTGTTCTGGACTACAGGTAGCATGCAAGAGAAAAGGATGGATTGGAAAAAACTCTTTCTCTTACTTTTAATCGGTACTTTTTAGGGAAAAGCTGAACATAGTAAGATGCCACAACTCCACCTTATGCTGTCTACTACCTTGCCTGTAAAAATACTCTTTCTTCCTGCTCTCATTTACCTCGTCATCAAAAAGTTCCACAGTTTCTAGTTTCATGGTGTTGTTCAATGTATTGGCCATGCAAAATCCCCTATGTCTTGTAGCTAGCCAGTATTTGCCTAGACAGTCTCTGGATAGAAGCTCCATAGCCTGCAATAGGAAGGAGATCAGCCTAGACGGCCCCTTCTGGGTTTAATCCATTAAATTACTGCCTTCAGTCAAGGCTTCATTCTAACAAGATTATTTGAACAATTTCCAGGGACTGAGTTCTTCTTCTCAAACATTTTTATAAAAGCACCATTCATTGACCTATCCAATGCAGACAATGCCCCACTAAAATTTACTGGAAAACATTAGGTGGGAATTAAAAAGCAAAATTTTCAATCTTATAAACCAAACATCTGTATTTTTAAATAAAAAAAATACCATTTTAAATTTTAGATTTTATGTGGTACTTTTCTTTCCAGTAAAAAAAGAAAGTTAAAAAATCAAGTAAACAAATCCAGTAAAAAGTCAAGCACCAATTTACTAATCTCGAACTAAAATGCCCTGTAGTTACCATTACCTGCTTTGGTGTGATCCGTATAATTCCAAATGCAAAGCCTTAGATGCAGACAAAAATTAAGCTTATGTTAGAGGGGCCAGTGACAAACATAAATGTTTGAATAAAAGAGGCATGAATAACTGTGGCAACAAAGACTTGTAGAAGTATTATCTACTTTTTGTCAAATCTATAGGTTTGCAAAAGGTTGTAGTATCTGTAACATTCTTGCCGGCTTTATATTTCTGCATGACTTGATGACTAGACATCTGTTTTGAAATCCCTGCAAAAAGTGCTCTAAAGTAATCCGTATTGCTATTGCAAAGCTCAGCTTTTCAGAAAAAGCAGCTGCTGTATATTCTGGAATAATCACACAAACCATTTTAAAGACTTGACCCTTGATTCCTTCATCTCAGTACTTCTACTAACTTCAGGGAAGTCTCAGTATAGGAGGAACACACAATGGGCTGTGATTCCACAGCCTTGAGCTATCCAGGCTGCTTCTTTTCAGTCACATGAAGTAAAGCAGCCTCCCCACAGCTGTGCTGTTTTATATACCTGAAAGACAATTTCAAAAATTATCATGGTCCTACGAGAGAATTTGGATAAGCAGTCATTACTAAATTGCCATAAAGTTCCCATATTACCAACTTTGTCATTACTGAACCGCTTCGAGACACACAGTATCTTTGTGCTGCATCTCTTTTCAGGCTGTAAGGAAACGAGAGCATATGAACGACAGTAAAAATGAAGCCAAGCGTACTGTTGAGAAACTTTGTATTCTCTTATTTCTAGGAGAGTTATAGTGTAATTCTAAACTGTAGCATTCAGCACGTCTCCTGAGTTTCCTTGCTGAAATGCTGCAATGGAAATTTTACAGCATCTGTGTTGCTTTTGGAAGCCATCACCTCACATCTGCTGTCTCTGTAGTGTAGAGCTTAAGTTCAGCGTAAAAAGGTACTTTGTAATAGGCAATAGGAATCCTGACAGAGCGGTAATTTACAGACTCACCCAGGTCTCCTGACTAGACTCACTCGTTTTTACATTCCGTAGAGATTTTTAAATAAGGTACTCTTCAAGCAGTCACCAGCATAACAGTCACTTCTTAAAATGGAACATCACATCCAGGACTGGAAAGAGACTTTTTAAACCTCTGTCAGTCACGGAGATCTCAGCCAGATGACAAATTTTTCATTCCGTTTTCTTCACTGGGCATTGTTCAATCTCCTCGCACTCTGCAGTAGGGTATTAACTAAATTAGCGCTAAAATAACCTTCTGCTACTTTCGGAGAAGTTCGGGTTTTGACCAGAAAGAATACCACATGTGTAGTAGTGGGACCGATTTCACAGCCCGGGATGTGAAACACGGAGGAGCACGGCCAGGTCCTCCAAGCACTTCTCTGTCACCTCTGAACGCAAAACCTTCCCTCAGGTGGGCGCTGGGGTCGGGGGAGGGGGGTGGAGAGTTTGCAAATTACCGCAATGATTACACAGTAGACGTGTTTATTGCCCCATTATTGCCCATTTCCTCCTAACGGGGTAATCTGTGCGTTCATTTAAATACACAGGCGGGAGCGGAGCGGATCCTGTTAGCACAGCCAGCAAACTTGGGACCGCTTTTGTTGTTTTGCCTCACGCGTTTGATTTCCTCCCGGCGCCCGCCCCGCCGCTCCCGCACCGCCCCCCGGGG